TGTTGGTGAACAGGAAGCGGAAAACCAGCCAAGTCACGAGGGCCCAGAAGAAGAGCGACAGCGGGATCTCGAGACCGCGCAGGACGGTGGCGTACTTGCGCGTGCCGGAGCTGACGACACCGCAGAAGAAGACAAAGACGATGGGAATCAGGTGGGCAACCACCTTGCCGGCCCAGAGGCCAGCCCATGAGGCTTCGAACCATATGAAAAGGTGGAAGAGCGGCGGGCCGTACTCTTTGGTCGGCGGGTCGGTGGTGGCGTTGGTAACGTGGGAGCCGAGCGGGATGGTGTTGGTGTTGCCTGTGACGGGGAGGAGGACGAGAGGGATGGCGAGCAAGACGGCAACGGGAATGACGTAGATGAGGTATCTTGTCAGCGTGGATTTGGCCACGAGGCGAGTGTACAGGCGGCCCATGAAGTTGAGAGCCACCTCGGAGTCGGTGCCGCGGCGCTTGAGAGCCTCGTGCTCGTTTCTCTTCACACGGCGGCGGCCAATCGGCCCGTGGTGGTGGTCATGAGTTTTGAAAAGGCCATGCTTCTCGTCGGCAGAGCTGCTGCCGCCGGAGGTGCCCGGGGCGCCACCGGCAGACCGGAAGCGCTCTATTTCGGGGCCCACGCCGCCTTGGTTGGCCTTGCGGGCGCCAAAGGAGGCATTGGACCGGATCGGGGCGAGGGGGATATCGGCCTCTTCGTGATCCATTTGGTTGCTACCGTCGTCGCGGCCTTGATTTCCTAGTGGTGCGAAGCCCTGATACTGAGGAAAGCGAGAAGATGTGAGGGGTGATGCCGGCATTCGATTGGCGATTTGGATGCCGTGCTTGGAGTATGCGAGACTGTCAAAGCCTCGAGAATAGTTGAATTATAGAAGAAAACGCCCCAGGGAACGATGTCGTTTGGCGTTGACTGAGGATATATATGAACGTAAATTGAGATTGTTTAAAAAGTACCGGACCCGACGGCACTGCAAGGCGAGCCAAAGTCTAGCTTTGAAGGCGCCTGGGTATCGAAACTTTTGAATGTACGAGCGAGGAAAGAGAAACGAGCGTGGAAAAGAACGGGGGTCGTTGAGAAAGCAAAAACAGGGACAGGAAGGGATGAAGGAAGAAGAAGCCGTGCTGCTTCGATCGGTCAGATCGAGGCTCGAACACGAAATAAGAGGGGGTGGGAGGGGATGGGGGAATAGATGATATGTGGTGAAAGGGCAATGCAAGAACAGCAAAGGAAATAACGAGAGATGCGCTTGGAACGTCAAGACTTTCTTGCTTGTCGTGACCCAAAAGAAGAGGTATCGAGAACGGAGTCCAGGGTCTATTTTGGGACAGCGGGATGCAACAAAGGAGAAAATAGGAGATAAAACAAAGGAGAGAGGCGGCGGGGATAGTTGGGCTGTCGAGATCCAAATAAAGAGCGAAAGCAAAAGGTTGGAAAAAAAGAAGCGAGCGAGTAGGACCAACGTCGGGCGTTTAAAAGAAAAGTGGTAGGAAAATTGTGGAAGAAGAGAAATGGATCAAAGGTCAAAAGATCAGCGCAATCACCTAAAAAAAGAAGGAAGGAGTGGGTGAGGAGCACAGGTCGAGATGCAAACAATAGGAAAGTGTGAGAAAAGTGGAAGGAGCGAGGGAGGAGGTTGAACGTGCATCACAGGCGGCGACAAAAGACGTGGAGATCCGCATCGAACTTTTTTTGGAGAGGGCACCCGCGTACCTGCCCCTGCTCGTCTGCGCCTTCCGTGCTAACTGCTAAGTGTGACGAAGGGAGCGAGGGGAGCAGGGAGGGTCCTTCCCAGCAGGAGAGAAAAAACCGGTTGGGCTTGACAGACAGCGGGTGTGGAGCACCAATGGTGGAGATTATTACAACAGGGAAGGAACATATGGCATTCGTACTCTGGCACTGTCGAAGTAAACAGAAAGATGGTAGGAGCTACTCAGGAATACGTCGGACAACGGAGTCAGGAGAGTTATACAGGGCAGTTGCGACCACGCAGTAAGTCCCAAGGGTAGTCGCACTGTTTCTCCACCTCGTGCATCCTTACACATTCATTCTTTTGATGCCTTCGCACAATGGCGAATTAAAGGAATTAAAGGGGTCTTGGAAGGACACAACCCAGCATATCAGGCGGCGCAATTGAACAATGAGCACGAAGACCAGATCAAGTTGAAACACAGGCGGGTTCAGGGGTCCCAGACCACCCAGCTCAACGGCGTCGACTTTTTCGACCGGCCTGGCCATCGCATCATTTACGGAGCACAGAAAAGAGCAGGCGGGCTGGTTCGATGGCGCCGTGGCCCCTTTTCTTTCCCAGTCGCCGTCGCGTTTCAGAATGCGTAAAGCACGACCAGAGGAATGCCAAAAAGTAAGGGCAAAACGAGAGGAGCCAGAAGGGTGTTTGGCTGGGCTCGCTTGGCTTGGGTCCCAGAGGCGAAACAGGCGAAAAAGGAAGGGTCTCCACTGCTGTTGCCAAATACGACGTACGGGATCCGTTTGAACGTGGTAAACAACAGGAACGCAGGAGCGTCCTGCAGTGGCTTAGCGGATAGCGGGCAGTGGAGACCCGAGGCCCACTACTGCCCAGGTTTCGAGTGTTCGCGCCTGCCCAGTCTCCACTGACGACCAAGAAAAGAAACTTCTTTTGGCTGTTGTGTGCCTGTGGACGTGGCTCAACTGGCAGCCGCAGTGAACATGAAGGAAGGAGCATTGCAGGCAGGAATTAGGGCCTCAGGGGTGCAATGCCTTCGCATGGCGCTCGTGTCTGCGCGAATGGCAGCGCCGCAATTTGTTTCAAACAAAACATCAACACATGCAATCCTGAAGGCTTCGAGCGGTTTGTTATTTCTTTGACTTGGACCCTGAAGCGGCTGGCCCCTGTCCGGTTGGCCAATCTGGCTGCTCCCGTCGACCCTGGCGAACGGGCTGTTGGGCAAAATTGCCTCGTTATTAGTTTCTTTATTTTCTCTTTTCTTCTTTCTCGTATCCCAGCCGCACTCTGCATTTGCCTAGACCTGCGACGGACGTTTCAGTGGCTTGTTGGAGCCGTTGGTGGTTCCTGGCGCTCTGTTGTCCGCTAAAACTCTATGTCGACCATGACGTTCCCAAGGTGGCAAAGAGGATAGAAAGGGACAAACATTGACAACAGAACACAAAACAACACAAGTGACAATTTACTGACTATGTCAAAAATACCAAGCCGAGCCGAAGGTAAACGTAAGCACAAGGAAACAAAAAAACCGTCGGCTCTTCGACTCTCTCGATCGTTACATATAATGACGTCGTACTCGAGAAAGGGTCGAGATTCAGGGATTGCCGAGCCCATGTAACTCAGTGGCAATTTTGTGATTAGTATTTTCCATCCATAGTCGGCCGGTACGAACGTACGTCGTACGACGTAGACGAGTTGTCGAAGGTTGTGCTTGTGCGTGCACACCGTTTCTCTTGTCTGTCCTATCGCCATGTCACGTTCATCGTGCCTCGTGTGTTGATGTTGTGTCTTTGAAGACGCGCGATTTACCTAGTTTCGATTAAATTTACAGATGCACAATTTCCTGCACGACATGCCAACTTACTTCGTACACTGTGTCGTTGAAGGATCCTCAAGACATAATCGGACAGCGCCGATCAATGGTCTAAGGAAAACGGCTGCGGGATGACAAGAACTGCCAAGACCAGTCACCTTTCAGAGTCGTTTACCGGAGCCGTCCTCCGTGACCAAAAAAACCGCTGATAGTTGTTCGACGTACGACAGAGTGGTGCTCAAACGCGGGTCATGTACCCCTGTATATGATCGGCCCCTCCATCAACGTGATTTCTTACTTTTCTCGCTCTCTCTTACGTCCGTCTCCGGAGGTGTTTTGGTGGCACAGGCACCGAGTGCGACGCAGCGAAGTTTCTGTTCTGGGAAAGCAACCTCAGCATTGGGATTTATTAGAGCGCTGCATTAGCAAATGCAACCTCCTCTTTGACGTGCCATCGTTCGATGAGAGGATCAGCACTGTAAAAGGGAAGACATAACAAAATGATGGAATAATCGGAGCAACACCGATCGTAGCGATCCCAGCCATCAACGCAAATCGAGGGTTGGATGGGTCAATCATATGCTTTGTCGAAATTCTGACGTGGTCTGCAATCCCCGCCTCGAAACGCCGTCGCGGCAGCTGCTGCACGAAGACTTGGTCAAAGCCTGTTCAACTTGCAGAAGCGACAGGGACAACGCAGGGAGTTGGATGCGTCAGTCACTGGAGATGGTGCAAGCCTCAGATTTAGGGGCAAAGGGAGCTAGGAGAACTCGTTGTATTTCGTACTGAATGTGACTGGCAAAATTGCTCTTTCTCGTCCACATCCTTTTGTGCGTCTCCAGTTTGTTCAATCCAGCAAAAAGGAGGCGCACAGGGCGGCGTGCGTACTTATGACGATGCCGCTGGATGGTGAAAAGGCAGTCTTATAATAGATGCAAAATACACTGCGTTAGATACTGCCTTTTGACAAGTCCCTCCCAGATTTTAAAGCGCGGCAGGCCACCGACATCGTCAATGGATGTGGGCACCTTTTAGAGTAATGGCGCTGGACGTCCTCTGTATTCAGAGAACAAGTCTTTGAACGGCTGCGTCGACGTTGATTCGAAATTCACTCGTTTTTCGTCTTGTAAAGCGACCGAGTAGAATGCTCCGTTCGATGCAGAAAAGGTGAACGGACGTGAATGAGGTTTGCGTTGATTGGTTCATATTGTCCTCCAGCACATGGTGGGGCCAAAACGGCAGGCACGCGACGTGCCATCAGTGGTGGTACCATTTGTGTGGTCCAAGCTCAGAAATGCACCTTCCCTAAAACGTTCCAATTGGAGCTTCCACTTTGTAGCGTGACATCACGAAAACTTTTGAGCTTCAGACGACCGACGACGAGACGACGTCTCACGACTGTCAAGCCTGCACGTCCTATTTGGCACTCGACAGGGAACTCCCTCTGTCATTGCCAACACCGCAACCAAATCTACCATGCGATTCGTCTCAATGCCGTGTCTTCGTGGTCTGCCATCAACAGCCCACTTCCGGGCGACGGCTTCGGCTTCGGCGTCGACCACGCGGCCAATTACAACACACCTCCTCCGCCGCTGCTACTCTTCAGAATCCCCAGCCCCAGATGCGCCGGAAACACCAGCAGGTGCCCCGCCGGCACACCCAGCACAGCCGTTGCCGCCACAAGGGCCCCAGCCCACAATCGACCTCAAACACATCCGCTTCCATGCCGAGCAATACTCGCAAAACTGCGTGCGCCGCAACTATGCCGCCATGGCCGGCTACCCGGCTCGCATTGTCGATGTCCACCAGAAGCTGCAGCAGATGAAAAAGGACAACGCGGCCCTGCGCCAGTCCGCCAACCGCATACGCCGGCAAATGATGGTGCCCAAGGACGAAGCGACCTTGGAGCGAGAGGCTGTAAAGAATCACTATGAAGACGCGCGGTTGTCGGAAACAGGTGCCGGCATGGCCATCGACCGCAGTGACAAGCTCAACACCAGTCGCGAGGACCTCATCGAGGAGGCCCGCAAGCTCAAGCAGGAGCTGGCAGCCGCCAAGGCCATTGAGACGACCCTCAGCGACGAGATGGAGAGCCTCGCCCTTGCCCTTCCCAACCTGACGAGCAGCGAGACGCCGGATCGTGAGCAGACTGTCCTCAGCTACATCAACTGTGACGGCGAGACAGGCGCGGGCGAGCGAAGCGAAGGACGCGAACAAACCGGGGCCGGTGCTGGTAAGCCGACCAACGAGTTTGGCACCCCGTCGCCGTCCATCGTCTTCAAGTCAACAGCCGACACGTGGCGCTCCCACGCCGACATTGGCACCGAGATAGGCATCCTCGAGTTCCCCGCCGCCGCCGCCGCATCCGGCTGGGGCTGGTACTACCTGCTAGGTGACGGCGCGCGCCTCGAGCAGGCTCTTGTCCAGTACGCCCTGAATGTGGCTCATCGCCACGGCTGGCAGACCGTGTCACCGCCCAGCATTGTGCGTAACGGCATTGCCGCTGCGTGTGGTTTCCAGCCGCGCGACCAGGGCGGCGAGCAGCAGACATACACGCTCGAGGGTCTGCCACTGAGCCTGGCCGCAACCGCCGAGATCCCGCTCGCAGCTCTGTACGCCGACACCACCATTGATGTGGCCTCGGAGAAGCCCCTGCGCCGCGCCGCTGTCTCCCGCTGTTACCGCGCCGAGGCTGGTTCGCGTGGCACCAGCACCAAGGGCCTCTACCGCGTGCACGAGTTCACAAAGGTCGAGATGTTTGCATGGACGGCGCCCGGCCTCGACGACGCCACCGACACGTTCAACGAGCTCGTCGACGTGCAAACCGAGATCCTGTCAAGCCTTGGCCTGCCGTGCCGTGTGTTGGAGATGCCGGCCACAGACCTGGGTGCATCCGCATACCGGAAAATCGACATTGAGGCCTTCTTCCCCGGCCGCATCCGCGCGCCCAAGGCAGCAAGTGGTGGCCAGTACGACTACAACCCCGGCTGGGGCGAGGTGACGTCAGCAAGCATCTGTACAGACTACCAGACGCGGCGACTGGCGACCCGCACGCGAATCAGCACTGAAAAAGGCCGCCAGCTGTCTTACCCTTGGACGCTGAACGGTACAGCACTTGCTGTGCCGCGTACTATGGCCGCGATCCTTGAGAACGGCTGGGACGAGTCGACCAAGACGGTCGCCATCCCCGAGTGCCTTTGGCCGTGGATGGATGGTCAGGAACGACTCGGAAAGCCGGAGGATCTGGCAAAGCTGGCGCCCAAAGAGCCAGAGGAGCCAAAGGAGCCGAAAGAGGTGAATAAGGCGAAAGAGTTGGAAGAATAGCGTAACGATGTAATGCAAAAGGACATAACCGCTTTCACGATGTGCTTGTTTGAATAAGAGACGCATTGAACTCGAAAATTTCACAAAGAAAACACCAGACCAGGCGTAAGATGAACAAAAGAAAGCTCCAAAAGGGAAATGCGCATATAGCAGCAAGTAGCAAGGTAGGTGAATGGTGAATAGCAGTGAAGCAAAAATAGGTACAAAAACCAATATCGAAAGTAGCAAACGAAACCGCAGCTGAAAACCCAATCAAGTCGCAATATCATGAAGCTCCATCATCATCCAAAGAAAGTGAATACAAAAAAAGAAAAAGAAAACAGCCATCGTTCTCACCGTGCACGATCTTCACCCCGATCTCACAATCTTCGGCCAAAACGTACCAAACCGCCATCCTGAGAAAATACACATGCTCAAGAACAGAAAACGTCTTCCCACTCAATGCTCGAAACACCTTTTACAGCTCACTGCCGTAAAGCACCATCCCGCCCGGCGGTGCAGAGCTGAGCTCACTGCTTGTCCACTGGCTCATCACATCGTTGTCGTCCTCATCACCCGAATAAAACTCGCCAGTCTCGCTTTGTGAGTCGCCCGTCACCACTGATACGCCGACACTGGACCGTCGCAGTGTTCCCGCTTCGCTGCGCTTATCATCGGCCTTGTTATCGTCGTCATCGTCGTCGCAGCAGTCATCGAAATCATCGGCACCTGCTCGTCTGTAGGGGACGATGGCGGCACTGATTTCTTCGACTCGCGGTGTGCTGTACTCGACAGACTCGTGCTCGTCGTCATCCCCGTCCGGCGTGTCTCGGTCGTTCTCTTCGTCGCTTTCCTTGAGAGGAGCGTTCTCCTTATCCATTTCCAGGCCACCGTAGCCCTTAGCTGGGAGCCGCCCGCCCCAGCTACTCTTTCGGAGGCCGCCCGCACCGCCGACATTGGCACGCACGCTGTTGCTGCGCTTGATGCTGCCGCTCGACATGCTGCTATTGATCTGGCTCAGGGACAGGATTCTCCGGGAACCATTGGGCCCGCCATTGGCTGCGACACCGAGAGGCGAGTTGGTCGGGAAGGGATTGCGCTTGGCCGACATGGCCATGTTAAAGGCGGAACGCGGTTTGGTTTCGGCCGGAACGGCTCTTGCGGCTCTAGGCATACTGTTGCTATCGCTCGAAGGCGGGCCTTCCTTCTTGGATGGCACAACACGCTTGCGGCTCATAGCCTCGCGTCCCTTGTTTGCCTTTGCCATGAGAAGTACCCGGGAGTGATCCATGACGCCCTCCAGGATGCGCCGCTCTAGGCCCTGGGCGCGTGCGTCCATTTCGTGCAGCTCCTCGCGGCGAAGGTGAAGCGCCGTTTCCAGGGACGAGACGTCGGCCGCCAGCCGGACCTTGTTGCGCTGGAAGGCCTCTTGTTCAGCACGCAGGCTTGCAACGCTGTCCTTCAGTCTCCGTTCCTCTTCGCGAAGAGCCGCCACACTGGACTCGGCCTCCTCCTTCTCAACCTGGCGGCGCTCAAGGGCAATAACGGTTTCTTGCAGCGTCCGCTCACGGTCTTCATGGTCGTCGGAAATCCGCTGTGTTTGCGTGGACATGTACTGTGCGAGGTCGGCCGCAGTGCGCATCACCTGCTGATGAACCTTTTCGAGCGTTTCGAGCTGAGACAGAGTCCGATCAGCCTTGTCGTCAGCGACACGTGAATGGCTCACAAGCTCGTCCAGCTGGTCGAGTTTCTCTAGTTTCTCCAGCTTCTCAAGCTGCTCTAGACTGTCGAGCTTGGCATACGCATCCTGGGCCATCTGGGTATGATTGACAATCTTGTCAATCTTCTCGTGTTGGGAGTCAAAGGCACGTCCAGCCAGCTGAGTCAGATCGACAATCTGGTCAAGCTTCACCAGCTTCTCGAGGTTGCCAAGGGCCTGGCTTGTCGTTTCGGCCTGTGCAACAAGGTAGTCCATCTTTTCAAGCTTCTCCAACTTCTCAAGCTTTTCAAGCTGGCCCAGCTGGTCGCGCTGCTCACCCAGGGCCTTGTCGGTGTCCTCAGAGTGCTCCACCAGTCTGTCGAGCTTCGTAAGTGCCTGGCCGACCGCGAGCGTGTGGTCGACGAGAGCATCCATTTTGTCGAGTTTAGTGAAGGCGTCGGTTGCCCTGTCGGTCTGACCCACAAGTTTGTCGAGCTTCTCTTGCATGGACGTGTCATCGTACTTCTCGGAGGGTGCTAGCAGCGGCATCTCCGGAGGCTTGGCTTCGATGATCTTCTCTTGGATCGACGTTGTTGACGACTTGGAGTGTTCAAAGTGCTCACTGACGACCAGCAAGACGTCTTTGATCGCCTCCAGAATCTTTGGCTGGTACTCGGTGACATGGCCCTGGACGCCCTGGACAGCGTCAATGGCCTGTTGCACATGGTCGCGGGTCTGCTGGTGCTCAGCCTTGTCATCCGAGTGGTTCTCTTCCGCCTTGCTAACCATATCATCAACGCGTTCGAAAACAGTCTTGGATGCCTCCTCCATCTTCTCCAGCGACTCAGTGACAGCCGAGCCAAGTGTGTCAATAAGAAGCTTCAACTCGTCTGCGATGACCTTTGTGCCAACCACAGCAGCCTCCAGCTCGACATCGCGGCCCTCGTTCACCCGCATACGATCGTCGGAAATCGACTGGAAGTCATCAAATTTGGCGACAAGCTCACCGATACGGTCGTCAATCTTGGCCTCGAGGGCGTCGGTTGTCTGCTGGAACCGCTCGTCCGTCTCCAGCTTGGCACCGACGACTCCAGCTCGCGACTCCTCGAACTCGTTCCGCATCGTCTCGTACAGGTCGTTCAGGTCGGAGCTGTTGCGACCGATTGTGTCACTAAGAGAATCGAGAATCTTGCCAACCGACTCAATGCCGAGAACGCCGTCTTCAAGGCGGTTCTTGACAGTCTCATTCAGTGCCTCAAGGAAGTTTTTGACATCCCGGACACGCTCACCAACGCCAACGATCTCAGCCTGGCACTCTTCGGATGCCTTGGCTGCGACGCTGGAGTCCATCTCGAGCTGGCTCCGCACATCGCGCACAATCACAGCCAGACTCAGGAGGTCATCCTTGGATGGCAGACCAGTGCTGTCGTCAGCCTGGGACATACGCTCAACAGCAGACTTGACCTGCAGACAGGCCAGAGAAACTGCCTCCACGTCGGACTTGGTGACTCTCTCCGGATCATCAAACTGCTTTTCGTGGCGCTCCTTCATCTCATCGAAGCCATTGGCCACTTGGGCGACAAGCGACTCCACCAAGTTGATATCCTCGCGCGACGAAAGACCGTCCATCTGGGTCTTGAGATCAAGCAAGTTGTGCTTGGTATCCAGAATAAGCGTTTCGATGGTGTCGATATGGTCTTTGCGCACGTACTGATTGCTGTCAATGAGATCGTCCAGGCGCGCTTTGGTGTTGCGGAGAATTGTCTCAATGGCCTCCACATCCTCGCGGGAGGCGGCATCAGTAGAGGGCCGCGGCGCAGGAGCGTCCTCGGATGCAGAGAAGGCCGAAGCAGGGACTTCCCGGCTAGCCAGTCCAGTAACAGACTCGTGGATCGAATGGAGCTTGGACTCCATCTGCGTTATCTTCTCCTTCCACTCTGCATCCCGTTCCGTGGTAAGGGCAGACGACGGGTCTTCGTCGGATGTGGTGGTGATGTCACGGTTGGTCGTTTGCTTGCTTTGTGAAGCGTCGATGACGTCGACCTTGGTGCGCAGCTGTGTAATGAGCATCTCGAGATTCTTGATGTCGTCGTGTCTCAGCATATCGGCAGGAACCAGTGCCGTGTTGTTAGCCTCAACGGTGGAAACAGCATTGTTGTTCTGGTCCCGCAGACCGTCAATATCGGTGCGAACATCACTGAGACCGGACTTGAGCGCATCCAGAATCTCGTCATTGGCGGTAAGATCGGCAGGTTTATTGCCGAGTCTGTCGATGCTAATCCGCAGGTCGGAAAGGCCCTCTTGAATAGCGTCGAGAACTTCCGACGTGCTGTTGACATGTCGATTGCTGATCTCGTTGCGAAGGAGGTTGACGCCCTCCTGGAGCGCCTCGAGAACCTCCCGGTTATTAGCAGGAGCCGCAGCAGACGGGACCGGAATGGCAGGGACAAGCGAAGTGTTGACTGTATCCCGAAGAGATTCAATCTCCTCCCTGAGCATATCTTTTGCGCCGTCCGAGGCCTTGGAGACCAGGTTCGAGATCTCGTCGCGGAAAACATCCAAGGTCCGAATAAGGCCCTCGGAGAAATCTTGATGTGTGACGGCAGCAGCGACCTTATCAACATAAGTCTCAAGATCACAGCGTAGCTTCTCGAGGCCATCTCTGGTCGCATCCAAGACCTGCTCGGTGTCGCGACCGTTGGCAGCAACATTCTGCTTCGCCTCGTCGGAGACAGCCTTGAACTCTTCGCGCATGAACGTCATGATTTCGTGGAGGCGTGAAACAATCTCGTCGCTGTTTTCGGAGGGGCTCATTGAAATTAGGTCACGATTCGACTGCGGGAAGTCGAAGCTATTGAGGCCCTGCTTAACGGCGTCAACCATATCCTCCTTGCTAATCTCAGCCCCCATGGCAGACGGAGCAACGGGGAACTCGAATTCCTCGAGACACTCGCGCACAGCCTCAAGGACCTCGTCACGAGACATGCCGCTGGAAGGCATCTGAGGCGGGACAAAATGGGCAAGGCCCTCGACAACAGCCTTGAACACTTCTTCACGAGTAGCACCAGCGGGCTGGCCGTTGCGGGGGACATAATCGCGGAGGCCCTGCTTCAGACAAGTCAGGACCTCGTCACGCTCGAGGCCAATTTGCTGAACCTCGATCTCAGGCTTGTATGTCTCCCAGGCGTCTTTAACCGCCGCAATAATATCGTCGCGACTCAACTCTGGCCGATTGAGCTTGTTCGCCTGCGAGTCTTTCAGGGCAGCACGCATCGAGTTGTAAACTTCTTGGTAGTCAACAGCCGGAACGGCTTCGGCAGCAGCCGCCGCAATGGTGGCAGCAGACGCAGCCGACTGGCGGCGGTGTTCACGCATGAGGTTGTTCATGTGCTGCTTGAGTTCGGAAAGGCCCTCCTCGACCACCTTGGCCATTTCGGCTTGCGTGGCAGCTGACGGTTTGCCTTCGTCCTTGGCGCGGACCTCGACTTCGTCCAAACGACGGCCAATCTCACGGCCCATACCCAGAACCTCGCCACGAAGCTCTCGGACCAGGGCCTTAACTTCGGCCGTGAGACCACCACCCTGGGCAACACTGTCCTTGACCGTCTTGATGATGTTGAGAACATCGTTGTTGATCCCATTATTGACGCCAGTGGCAGGCGCAGACGAGCGACGCTGTTCGATTGCCGAGGTGCTCGCACTTTGAAGAAGGCGTTCCGCGCGTTGGGTCATTGGACCTTTGCGGTTGTACTCGATCTCACGCTGAGAGTTGACAGGCTCGTCGTCAAAGCTATAGTTGCGGGGCCGGCTAGGACCAGAAGCAGCAGGAACAATAGACTGCTCCTGGCGCTCCTTGACAAACTGCAGGAGCTCCTCAAGCTTAGCGGCCGACACCATGCCCGAGAGCTTCTCGATGACTTCAGAGAGTCTGCTCATGAGAAGGTCCTGTCCTTCCTTTGTGCCCATTTCGCGTACAATACGTTCCAGCATAGAAATGGTGTTAGGCCCATCCGCCGCATAGAGAGACGGCGTGCTCATGGACTCACGGTCGAGAGATGCAGCAAAGCTGTTGGGAGATGGAATCCGGGGAAGCGAGAAGGGACGCACAGACCTAGATAAAGGCGAGGTAGCGTGAGGCTGGCCATGCGGCTTGTTGTCGATCATGAAGGGGCCACCAGGGTGTGAGTCGCGAGACCGAGTGGATGCCACTTCACTCGCGTTGGTGATAAGTTCGCGAAGGCTCTTGCGGATGTCCTCGTCTCTGGCATTAGTCGCCTCCTTGAGGCTGAGTAGATCGGTAGCATTGTCCCTGCTTCGCCGGCTCAGTGCGGACATCTCCTTCTGCAGGGATGTAGCAATGTTGGTAAGGCTCATGATTTGCTTAGACAAATGCTCCATTGGCATATGTGGCTGCTTGACTACGGTCATAGCCATGCTGTTGTTGTTGTTGTTGTTGTTGTTGCTGCTGCTGTTCCCACTGCGGCTCTTAGCACCGCCTGCCGACCTGTTGTTTGAGACAATTGTGAGGGGAGCCTGGTCAGGAGCAGGAGCGGTCTCCAGCTGTGCAGTTGGCTGTTGCGGTGGGGGCTGCGGCAGCTGCTGTGTGGACGAGGGTGGCAAGGGAAGCGGTGCTCCCGGCTCGCGTTCTCTCTGGCTCGGGTTGGATGCGGCCATGCTGTGCAAAGCGAGCATGGTCGCCGACTGGGGCGGAGTGTTCTCGCCCAGGATGCTCTGCTGTGGCCGCCGGACGATGGGCCGCACAATGGGCGTCAGGCTAGGACCCGGACCAGGGTTGACGTTGATCGGCTGTTTGTCGTCTGATAGAAAGGGGTCAGTCCGGTTCTTGAGCGGTGTCGAAGGTAGACCGATAAGGGCGGTCTTCTCGGGCGACCGCGGCGTCGTGCTGTTGGGGTCACGGCTGGTGTTGCTGTTCGCGCCGCCGGTCTCAATCATCAAACTGAGATCGCGAACTGTGTTGGGCTGCAGTGACTGCATGCGCCGGTGGGATTGTGAGCGCGGTGCGGAACTGGAAGAGGAGTTTGTGGAGATGGAGCTGGTGTGCGAGAGGGAGCCGCGAGGCGTGCGTTCGGGTGAGGCGTCGCCGATGCGCTTAGCGAGAGCGTTGGACACGAGAGCGCTCTCGCGGGCCTTCTCGGTGAGCGCGGCGTGGGCTGACTGGATGTTCGTCGAGGTGCCTGGCCGAGAGGTACCGACACTCGGCGACTGCGGGTTCAGAGGCAGCGGCGGTGGTGCCCGCTCGGGATCCGAACTGTCCCACCTGTTTTTGCGTTTCTGTGTCAGTCGACGCCAAACGACCGCCATATCTGGGGAGAGGGAAGGGAGATTAAGAGAAGCTCATTGAGAATACGGGGAGAAGTATAAGACTATCTAACGCGTTTGTTTGTGGCCAGATGCAAAGCCACATAACGAAGTACGCGAGGCAGCAGACACTGTCTGAACGTGCATACACAAAAGAACGCAAAAGAAAGCAAAAGGCAAGGAGGCGGATAGCAATCACACGCACATGGGAATGAAAGAACGGCCATGATCAGACGACGATGAATGCTGGTGTCTGAGCACACGTTCCGGGTCCCAGAGAGCGACGTCGCGCTCGATGGGAGGCATTGTTGTGGGCGCCGTTACGGGCGAGAGACGAGGCCGCACAGCTCGTTAGGAGAAGGTAGGTAACTTGACTGGAATGGCGCACGTTGCAGAAAGGGGAGGAGATGCGTGGCGGGAGGAATGTTGACGATAGTTCTGAGAGGGCGAAAAGTACAAGAAAATATTCGGGATCAGCGCTGGTTTGCCGTTGCCTGCCTTCCAGGATGATTTCAATACTCTCGGGAAGGACAAAATATCGGCGTAAAAGATAAGAAACTGGGCGAACTGGAAACAAAACTTGAGAACGCAGGAGTTCTCGAAAAGGGCGATAAAAGAGCGTAGTATAGAAAAGCAATGGCCAGAGCCTTCTGGGTGAGAACGGCGGAGGATATATCGCAAGGTCTATCGCACCTGCCCGAACCAAACTTTGCGTACACAGCTATTGACTGACAATGCAAACAAAGGAAGGCACGGGGGGGTTCGTCATTGCAGGGAAGGAGGTGGCAGCACTGCTCGCACGGCCAGCCGTTGCGTGGATCAAAACAGCGTGCTGGGATAAACAAATGGCCCCACTCGCTGCTGGGGCAACCACGACCGCCACAGACAAATTAAAGTGGGTCGTTTAAGACGTCTTCAATATGTCTGCAAAATTCCATATTGTTGAGCACGCAGAATCCTTCTTGACAACGCAGACAACCAGTTCAACGTCACACAGCTCGATTGCTACATTGGCAAGGTCGTCGAAAGGCTGGCCGTTTAGTACATACATTTGCGTCCAGCATCTGATGAATCCGGGTCTACAACACCCTTCAGACAACGGCACACGGACATCGGATTAATTAAGGAACGCGTCTTTTCCAAACGATTCCGTCCTTCTTTTTTGCCCACTCAATCAATTCACGGAGATGTTCTATGGCCGAAAACAAGGCAGAAAAATTAAGAGACAAAAAACACATGCCAGGGTTATTTTAACACACAAAACGCCATCCATCCAAGACTACCCTTCTCCCGCGAAGAGACTGTTGCCCGCCCAAAAGAGATAGTTTCTTTTTGTACAACGTAAACCCGATCTCGCGCGTCGTCACAGCCGCTTGTGATTCTTTATATTTTCAGTTCGCCCTCGGTTATCTGCGCTTGGCTTGCATCACGCGTCAGGCCTCTTACCGCTTCAGAGCGGTGTCGAAGGCCGGGATGAGCGTTTGCGCCAGCCAGAAGGAGAAGACCAATTTGGGACCCGTCATCAGCAGCTTGGGGACAAGGCCCTTGAAGAAGCTAGAGAAACCCTCGTGGCGGGCCATGTTGGTCAGAATGCGGAAGCCGCTCTCGGGATTCTCAAAGTTGCGGTTCTGGATACGGGTCTTGATGACGTCGAGCGGCGCAGAGACAACCAGTGACGCGGAAGCACCGGCAATCGAGGCAACAAAGTTCTGGAACCAGGTGGCCTTGTTGTAGTCCTGCAGCTTGAACAAAAACTCCTTGGCGAACGCAGAACCACCGAAGAGCTAGTGGGAACGTCAGCACGTGCCCGCAGAAGACAGACAGAAAATGCAGGCGGAGAATCGACAAAATATCAAAAAGTACATGAAACGTGGGGGCAGCAACGTACAGCAAAAGAACCCGGCGCGTTGCGGGCAGCCGTCCAGCCCCAGCCACGGTACAGGCCGAAGCCCTCGTCACGGATGATGCGCAGCACACCGCGGCCACGGAATGCCTCGGGGTTCGTCTGGCGCTTGATCTTGAGAACGTCGAGGGGCAACAGCACGATCTCACCAATGCCGATCAGACTGCCAGCAGTGGAGTGCATGATGGCCTTGCCGGTCTTGGCACCGAATGCCTTCTCAAAGTTCTTGCCGTAGTGCTCGGAGAGGTAGTCGCGAGCAACGGGTTGGCCACCGTACTTGTATATCCGCTGCAGGACCTTGTAGCCGGCAGCGTAGCCCAGGCCGGGGAAGAGAGACACGAACTTGCGACCGAAGGGGGCGGCGGCCTTGTCCTTGAAGATGACCTTGTTGAGCTGCGCATAGTTGACAATCTTGAGGAAGAGCACGTGTTAGTCCGAAAGTCCGGCGCATGGGCATCATTCATAATGGCGTCGCATACCTTGCCCTCGTTGCTCATCAGGCGCTTGGCGATCGTGTCAACCTGTTGTCGCAGAAATGTTAGAAAAGCTGGTATGTACGGGGAAAACCGCATCGCGCCTCATGTGCCGCCGTCTTGCGGGGTCAACCTACCGGGTGGAAGACAGCAAGCTCAGCGATACCAGCCGATCCTATAGATTTGCACACCGCCAGTCAGCCTCAGTTGCGTCTTCGTATTGTACCCCCAATACAAGCCATTGCTGCTTGTCCATTGCCGTTTGTGGTCGCATACCGGAGCCCAGCAGACGAGCCAGGTTAGACTCCTTCTGAACACCGCCCGCAGGAGGAGACATTGCGTATGGTGGATGTGTGAGGCGTCGGGAAGTGGCGAGGTCGATGAGGTTGAGGAGGAAAGTCTAGGAGGAAAGTCGAGGAGGGCGGAGAGATGGTCGCAGCTGGACGCGGCGTCTTGTTGATCAAACCGCCGATTTGTCGTGAAAGTCACACTTGCGTCGGCGATTCTCGGAAAAATCCAGGGTCATACGAAGTAAAGTCGAGGATTAAAGCATTTCTCGCAAGACCGGGACGACGACTCAAAAAAATTTCCCCAGCGAAAATGGCGTGTGAAAATGACTAGCGTTATCGGACCGTGGGCTGGCTCGGCTTGTACCTGGCCAGCACCTGGGAAGGTGCGGCCTGCTGGGAAAAGTGGCCCTAAAAGTTGACAGGAAGGACCAATCAGCCCGGCCAGGTCCCTTGTGCCTTCCTTGTGCCTTCCATGTGCGACGCCTTCCTCCCATCTGGCTCTGAGGTGGGGCAGTCATTCGCAAGATGAATTACTGTCATTCGCTAGCTGCGACAAAGCTATCTATATAAACTGCGGCCGCTGCAAAAACCTTTCTCTCGTCAATAAGCCAAGGACGGACACCTTTATTCCATTAATATTTTTTGTATTTACTCGTAATAATACTAGCCATGATCACAAAATCACTCCAATTTGTTGCCTGCATAGTCTTATATTTTGTAACAGTTTTTAAACTTTATTTATAAACAAAAATAATTGTTAAAAAATGACCTCGAAATTCGACGCATGTATTGTTTTTATTTTATATTTTCTTGTTCTTTTTCTTCACCTTCTCCCGCCATTTGATATTCTCGTTCAATACCTAAACCACTAATCAAAAAACACCCTTCATGGTTTATTGTCTTTTGAGATTGAAATGTGGTCGTTGCCAAATGCGAAAAAATACGAGTCCCAACCAGTAAACGCAAATAAACACAAAACATTGTGACAAAATACGCCTTGAAAACGAACGCCGGCGTCTTTCCTTCTTTCCTTAAAGTAACATGGGACAGTCGCCCTTCACTCCTTTTCGTTTCATTCGTCTACCGCCACAGCGGTGCTGTCACCTCCACAGCACGCTCGACAACAGCGCGCACGCGCTCAGCAAATACTCGCTGGGCGCAGTCAATTTCCAGATCATCAAGCCAGACCTTGGCCTCCATCTTGTCGACCTTGACCAAGACGCCCGGGACCGGGATGCCGGCGGCGTGCAGCCGCTCTAGCTCGCGACGAACGCGTTCTTGGCGTTTTTCGTCAACAACATTGGCATCTTGACCGCCTTCGGCAGCTTCCTCTTCACCATTTGTGATCTCCTTGACGGCCCCTCCATCCTCGTCTTCTCGCACTCGTGGCTCGGCGATGGGCGATACGTTGTCGGCACCAAATTGGGCCTCCAGGAACATGCAAAGGCGGCTGAACTGCTCCTCAGGCGTAATATGAGCGTGCAGGTTGCGCACAGGGAGAACATGATGTTCATGATCATGTGCGTCGTGATCGTGGCTGTGAGAATGCCCATTCTTGCCGGATTCTAAATGTGTTAGCAATAATGTGACCCATATGAAGCGGAGACGTTGTTTCTCTCAAGGCCGCAGGACGTACGCTTCACGGCAGCCGGGCTGCTTTCAACGGAAAAGAGGACAGCCATGACAGCGTCGGCGATGCCGTCATTGAGCAGATTGCCCTCCCATTCTAGCTCGATCTCGCCGCTTGCATAATACCGCACAGACACGCATCCCATTACGAGGTACGCGGCGACCAGCTTGTTGATTTCCTCATCAGCCGCCTCCTCGTTGTCCCCATCCTCGTCGTCTTCCTCGTTGTCGTACAGCTTGTCGTCTTCCATGTCCTCATCCTCTCCATCGTCGTTGGACTTCTTGGCCGTGTCCGATTCCGAATTTGTGGCGCCATTGCTGACAATCTTCTTCGTAGCTTTGCCATTCTGCTGCAGCTGCTTGACGCCCTTCTGCTTGTGCATCTCGGGCAGCTCCTCGATGGCGCCAAACGTACCCTCGAGCGCCCAGCGGATGAGGTCAATACCGGCCGCACTCAACGTGAGGCGCTGTCGGCAGACAATGGTCGTTGTCGTCAAGCCTGCATACTCCTGCAAGTCTTCCGGCGCCATGAACGACAATTTAAAGTCGTTCTGGACGAGCACGCCTGTGATAATGGGTCCTGATGACCGGTCTTGGTCTGCATCCTGTTGTTGAGCTGGGCTGATTTGCGTCGGCGGGGTCACTGTCGCCAGCTTGCCGACGACCTTGGCAATCTTGTCCGTCTTGAACGGGATGCGCAGCTCCTCGCAGTTGCGCGGGCTGAACACCTTCATCTTATCCTTCTCTGCCTTGCCCGAGTTGAGGGACAGCAGCTTGGACTTGAGTCTCATCATGTTGTGCTGTTCGCCATGGACAAGAATCTGGGCAACAAGTTGTCAGTGAATATAACAGTCATTAGAATGCAGCACAAAGGAGTACCTACCACCACCGGAGCGTTCACCTCCTCGATGAACTCGCGGTTTTCTGTGCCGTCGACATGCGCAGCAAAAGAGTACTCCTGAACACTGCACCGCCGCGGAATCAAAACCTTTTCCGAGTCTGCGCCCGGCGCCCGGCGGTTGGCGCCCGTCAGGTTGCGTGACATAACGGCCTGGATGTGCTCGGGCTCCTGCATGATTTGCTTCGCCATGGTGCCTTCAACACTGTAGCCCGTGATGATCACGCCGTTCTTGTCGCTGGGTGCCCACCGCTCGAGCAGCTCGCGACTGACACCGTTCTGCAGCATACCAGGGCTTGCGAGCATGACACAGCCGCCAATGTCCTCAAAGCGGTCAAGGCTCTTGAGCGACCGAATGAAGCGGAAATCCCATGGGCCACCGCCACCCGCAGTATTTCCCGAGGCCTCGGCCTCCCGTGCACGCTCAGCATACAGACGCTTGATGTTGTCGTTCATGGCGCCCGTGTACGTCTGGTACACGACCATGCACTTCTTGGCGAGATTGCTCGCATAGTAGATGGGGAAGTTTTGGAAATCAGGATGTTTGCTCCAGTACTCGTCGAGAATGAGTAGCAGCTCCTGCGCACGGCCGAGAGCAAATACAGGCATTAGTACGCGGCCCCCACGGTTGAGGATGCCCGTGATGGACTTCATCAGCGCCTGTTCACGCTCAAGACGAGGCACGTGCGATGCTATGCCGTACGTGGACTCGGTGATGAGCACATCAATCTTGACGCCTTTGGGAACCTCGGCAGAGACCAAGTGCCGATCCAGCTCGCGCGAGTAGTCGCCTGTGAAGAAGATCTTCAAGCCGGCAATCTCGACGAGGAACATGGCGGCGCCGAGAACATGGCCGGCCGGATACGGCGTGATACGGATGCCCGAGACTGTATGTGTTGTGTGATAGTCGATGGCCTCGATTTGGCGAAATGTGCTGAGATGGTCCTGCTCGGTGTAGACTAGCTGTGTTGTCGGATTCGACGATGTGTTACCCACGCGAACACTGTCTTGGATAAGCCACTTGTAGATGGCCTTGGTCGGGTGTGTCATGAAGACGCGGCCACGGAAATTTGTCTTTGCCAGCACATAAGGTAACGAGGCGGCGTGGTCGATGTGGAAACTTGTGACATGCTGTTAGCATAGGCGGATCTAGGATAGAGGCTCACGATTTACTAAATGAAGCGGAGGAGACAAGAGACAAAGCCGTGTGCAACAAAACAGACTCGATTGTATTGATAACTGCATACTAAGCGGCTTCTTGAATATACACACACATGAAACCGAGTGCCCAAAACCCAGCAATTGCACGTCACCGCAGGACTACTGCGGCGGAAACCAAATAAATTGAAGTCCTTCTACCGCCTAGGGTATGATGACTGCCTGTGTTATGGCTGATGTGTAGACCCTTGGGATTCCGGTTCGGCGACACAGGGACAAAGTCTTCTCCGGTTCCTCGATGCAGAGACAGACTGGTACTCTGACAGAAATGGCAACAAAATATACACGCAGGTGTGGGCTTACTGGCTGATGAGAAGAACGTCGACGGTGCTGAGATCAAAGTCGTCGAAGAATGGGAGCGATGCGAGGCCATCGTAGGCAGGGTGCTGGCCAGCGTCGAGCTATATGCTTGATCAGAGACTAAGCTCAAACGAAAGATGCCCTTCAGTGCAATGAGATGACATACCATGACTGTCTTGCCCTTGTACTGGATGATATGGCAGGACCGGCCAACTTCATTGCCACCGCCGAGACACAGGAACATCAGTTCGTCGGACGGGTCGACAGGCTCTTCGGGCGCAGCGCCCATCGCCGCAGCCTTGCGCTTGGAAGCCATCGGAACGAAGTGCTATGTTAATAGTGCAGCGCAAAGACTGTACGCGCAAGACTGTACGCGCAACAAGGTCGCGAATACGACCGACGTCGTTCAAGCTCGACAGCGTTTCGATATTTCGAAATCGCTCGGCTGCTTCGAAACGGCTATTATCGATACAAAACGTTTGAGCCCAAAGGCTCACTGAAACTGCCGGTCGGCACTCGGCATCCGGACAGGCAAGCGGCCGGAGACGTCGGCGGGTGTCAAGGGAACTTGGAGAATGCGAGATGTTGGAGTGCATGACAATGCTTGGACCTGCAACGGTGAGCTTTTGGCACTAGAGCCGATGCAGCTCATCCTGGCGCGCGTACGAACCATTATGGGAAGGCGCGCCTCGCGACTTCGCTAGCACTGTGCCGGCACGTCGTTTTTCCGCCCCGGGCTCAGTCTCTTGGTGTGACCTGTCACGTGTGTCACAGAACGCGACCGACAATTAGCGCCGCGGTCCTTCCCAGAGGTGTTCGTTTGCTTTCGCAGAGGCGAGAGGCAAAACCAATAACCTCTTCTTCGGCATCCATCCACACTCCCTGCTCTCGACAACGCCTACGCACCACGCCGGCATCACTACGAACGTGCGCTCGATCTGCCTCTCATATTGCATCTTGCGCTGCCACCGCCGACTTGTTTCTGTCGCGCTTTCGACGACTGCGAGTGCGGCGCGTGTCCCGCTGAACGCTGCTGTCTCAGCTTTTCGACACTTGCAACTGGCCTCGTGGACGATCTGGATGGGCGTTCCAGCCGGCTGCACAACTCTGGGCGGCTCGACAGGCCTCGCTGTCTGCCGGGTGGCGGCGGTTGCATCGCTTTTGTGAAGCATTTCCATCAGCAACCCATCGAACTCGCTTCTACGTCTACGCTGCCATCAATAATCGGCAATTCGGACGACCACATTTACGCCCCTCCCACGAGATCCCATTCCCCCCATCACTGATTTCTCACTGCAACGCAACCTTGGCGGGATTTCCTACTCCGTGTTGTATTGTCATGGCTCAACCGCAACCTCAGGTCCCTCAAAGGACCTTCTCCCCAACCTCCCAACTAAGCCCGTCCCCTGCTCCTCATCCTGCGGCGTTTTCGGGGCAGCCAGCTTCAAAAAAGACACAGCTCTCTCCCGCACCATCGCCAACCGGTCTCGTGCAGTCGCCCTCGGGCATTTTCTCTCCTGTCGGGGCGAACGGCGGCCCGCACAGCAACAACAGCCCTGCGACGCCGTCAACGCCAAATTCCCTAGCTTCGCCATTAGCACTTCCTTCATCCAACGCCCACCCGGCGAACGCGCCACTCTCCATGCCTCTCCCTACCCCAGCACTCCCCACCTCCGCCGCAGCTTCTCCGATGCCGATGCCCTCTCCGCTGCCAGCCGCCGGCCAGGCAAACAACGCGTCAAACGGCTACTCGCCTCACAAATCCCAAATGCCGTCAGGTTCGCCTGCACCTCAGATCGTGTCCCCGAAACCAGCCCAGACACCGACACCACCGACGCCATCAGGTCCCCCGACGCCATCGGGGCCTCCATTCCCGCAGGCGACGCCGGGCATGCCAAGTGGCGGCGCTGGCCCTACGAACGGAAACCACTTTGTACCGATTGCTGCAACCCCAACCGTACAGACATCGGCAGGCGGCGCTATGGGCCCACCTTCGAAGCCACCGACAAAGGAATACCAGTACGATGTCGACGACTCGCTGGCCGGCACCGGTATCGATCTCCGACAAGAAGAGCAGTTTCAGGCCGACTATTTTGCGGGCACGTTCCGGCCAGAGGCACGGACGGGATTCCCTGCAAATACACCGGGACCGCGAGGCTCGTTTTATGGCTCTCTGTCTGCAAACCAGCCGGCCGAGACGGTTGACGAAGCAAATCAGCGGATATTTGAGGTGGAAGCTGCAAAGCACGCATGGACCGACGCAGCACGGGCTTTGGCATCGTCGCGGAGCAATGCGCTGCAGAACCGGTTCCTTGATTTCGGCGCTGTGTTCTTACGGGCCGAGAAGATTGCCAACGAGTACGGCATTGGTGTGGTTATGGATCCCAAAGTGCCACCAGTGACGACCGGACGGGCGCGGCAGGAGGCCGAGTTTCCCAAGCCATATGTGACGGTCAATACCAAAAAGGGGCCGGACGGCGTGTCGCTTGTCTCGACAACGGCGGCGTTTATTCCGGAGGATACATTCCTTGCAGACCAGCTGGCGCTGCTGTCTCTTGCCGCCAAGCATCGGATTCGGGAGCTGCTGGAGGATGCGAACAAGGTGGCAGAAACGCGCCAGACCACGTCCCACGGCGTTGTTCCGGACGAGTGGCTGGAGGCCGCGGCACCTCTTCCGTCGGCTACCGCTGCGGCAGAAGCGGCAGTCGCCTCCAAGGATGGCGACGCGATCATGACTGACGCGGACAAGAGCTCCTTGAAGCGTAAGTATTTTTCGTTTTCCTTTTTGTGTGCGAGAGAGAAAGGACAATGGCGCAGATGCGCATTGGAGCGTCAATGTGTATATGATGTATTCTAACAATCGGAAGGCACCCTCGAAGTGGACGACAAGACGGACCTGGGCGGTGTCGCGAAAAAGATTGCTGCCGGCAATACTCTCATCCAGAGCTTGCGCATTGTTAGCAAGGCCGAGCGTAGCTTCGAGGAGCAGCGGCTGCTTAAGCGTCAGAAGCGCGAGGGTAAGAAAACGGACTCGGCCACGCCATCTACGCCGATTGCGCACCGCACAGCCACGCCTGGAACGCCAGGGTCTGTTGCGCCGGAGCCCGACAAAGCGCCGACAAAGAAGGAGCTCAAGAAGAACGCAGCTGCCAAGGTCGCCGAGCAAAACGACACACTCAGTGCCAACCGCACAAGTATGGCCTTCTTGGGCGGCCGCAAGAAGCAGTACTCGTGGCTGTCCGGCGGTGCTGGCGCATCGCCCAAGCGTGGTCTAGGCGGCGGCGGCGGCGGCAGCGGTGGTGCAGGAGGTGCAGGAGGCTCTGGCGGCGCTGGAGGCAGCGGTGCCAACACGCCTGGCCGGAAGTCTAGTGAACCCGCTATGTTGACTGCGGAGGCGAGAACAAAATGGGGCTCGTGGCGCGAGGACGGCATCAAGGGCAAAGACATCCAACTGCGCGACTTGGTGGTCGTCCTCGAGGCAGATGGTCGGGAGGTGGCGGCACTGCAGACGGCATATGACAAGCTGGACGGCGTGCCTCTGCCGCCGCCGAAGCCGGCACCATGAGCGGCAGTATTGTGCTTTTTTCGTAAACCTTTTAACACAACATCTGTCACAACATTGCCACAACATCTCTCAAACAGACTCTATACGGATCTTCTTATCCGCTCAAAGATACTGCACAAAAGAAGGGGGAGATAAAGGACGGCAATGGGGCCTTGTTCTGCCGCCTTGTCTCTCAGATTTTGCTTTTGGGTTTCCCTTTACGTTCTATACATCTTCGGGGAGTACGGCGTGTGTCATGTGTAATGGCAGATACTCGATCATTTTGTCAATGTTTCTGCGGCTTTTGTCACTTGGGCTCATCAAAAGGGGTTTTTTACTCCCCCGTCTTCGTCTCAGTTTCCTTATATAGGTCATCTTTAGAGGGAGCGACGACTTTATTTGTAATCATACCTTTTATTTTACCTGTAGTTTGCATTCTCGACGTGGACCTGGATGCTGTGATTCGCGTTTCGTTGTAGCTGTCTGTCCGTTGTGGCTGCAAAAATGATGCAATCGGGTCCCGCCAAGCTCGTCTAAGCTTTATCTCCGTTATGGCCCGCGCCGCTTAGATAGCATTGCCCCTACCGCAAGACGACATCCTGCGTCACAACTGAAACAAACATCGAGTCGAGCCAGAGTCTTTTCATAATGGCGATTGCTGTACGTAACTTCTTCTCTGTCGCCCATACACCAACAATCGCCAGTCTAACACACCTCGCAACTCCAGGCCATCGGCCAGATCTGTTCCACGGCCTCCGTGGCCCACAACCTCGAGCAGTGCGTCAGCCTTGTCTGTCGAGCTGCCGCCGCCGGGGCCAAAGTGCTCTTTTTGCCCGAGGCATCTGACTACATTGCCACATCTCCGGAGCAAGCCCTGGCTCTCGCGCAGCCGGTGGACGAGTCGCCCTTTGTGCTCGGCCTGCAGTCGGCTGCCGCCCAGCACGGTGTGGCCGTGCATGTGGGCATCCACGTGCCAGTGGCCGTGACTGCCTCCGCGGCCGGATCGAATGCGGTGATGCCGACTGTTGTACAAACCGGCGAAGCATCTTCGACGACAGCAGCAGCAAGCGCTGGCAGAAAGCTGCTCAACCGCACCATCTACATTGACCCGGCCGGCCGCGTCGCGCCTTATGGCAACTACGACAAGCTGCACCTCTTTGACTATGCGGCTGCGGGTCTGCGCGAAAGCGCCCAGACACAGGCCGGCACGGCCCTGCTCCCGCCGTACACGACACCCCTCGGTCGCCTGGGCAGCCTGACGTGCTTTGACCTGCGGTTCCCGGAGCCGGCCATTGCTCTCGCACACTACGCCCAGCCCGCACCGGCGCACATTATCACGTACCCATCGGCGTTTACGGTGCCGACGGGCCGTGCGCATTGGGAGGTGCTGCTGCGAGCGCGGGCCATTGAGAGCCAGTGCTACATCATTGCGGCGGCGCAGGTCGGCCGGCACAATGCCAAGCGCGTGAGCTACGGGCGCAGCCTGGCCGTGGATCCGTGGGGCAAAGTGCTGTGCCGGCTCGGCGGCGTGGTGGGCGGCGACGATGAGAACGCGACGGGCCCGGATGTGGGCAATGCCGACGAGGGTGCAGAGGGCCAGCTGGGGCTGGTGGACATCGACCTGTCCGTGTGGGAGAGCGTGCGGGAGCGGCTGCCGCTGGTCCGACGAACGTGAGTACTTTGAGCCACTGATTGTGAAGGTTGGTTCTGTCAATGGCTTGCTAACAATGCGACAGGGACGTCTACCCGGCGCTGGACTTGGTCAAGGATGGCGAAACAGAAGGGAGAGAGGCGGAGCATTGATGATATGTATTCGCTAGTTGGCGCAGGCCTAGATACACAAACAAAACTGTCCAAAGCACGGCCTCAAATAACCGCGCGCTTGCAAACAATCTCGTACAATTTGCTGCTGTAAAAACGGGACGGAGATGCGGCTCGAAGAAGCATTCTGTATGCTTTCACAAGCTCGATTTGTAATCGTCTACTTGCACCTTTTCCCACTTCTCTAACTCTCCTTCTCTCTCTTTTCACTCTCTTTTCTCTCCCTCTTCCTCCACATTCAGTCCCATGTTCCCAAACGCCGGCGCCAAACAGTATGCAATATAAGAATGTAAACCGAAGCAAAAATAAATGCCAGAATAGAATATGATGACAAAACAACAAATAATAGCGGTCAACGTCGCGCATATCTTTTTACTACCGCCCATAGACGGCAATTGTCGGCTCCCCTTGCTGCGGCACCTAGCGTTGCGGCGGAACGGGCTTGGGCGGCATGTTGCGGATTTGCTTGATGAGGAACTCGCGCTCGTCAATAAACTGCTCATCTTCAGTTCGCTCCTCGAGGAAGTGTGACAGAAACGTGAGAAGCTTGTCCCGGTTCATGATCAGGATCTTCTGGACGGCGACCGACTTGTGGGGGTTGGCGACAAACACCTTGAACACGTGGAAGCCCTCGTACTGGACCATCTTGCGGTCGTCGCGCAGCAGGTTCATGCAGATCTTGAGGTGCTCGCCCGAGTCGACGTACCGCGTCATGACTGTGTAGTTGGAGCGGTCCAGCAGCACCTCGCCAAGCAGCTTGATAGACTGGCGCTTGGTGACGTAGCTGTGGGACTGCACGAGGGTGGTGTTGTAGCGGCTGAAGAAGAGGTCGAAGTTGATGCTGAGGTAGCGCGGCACAAGTTCCTTGTGCCTAGTAAGAAGTTCCTAGGGACAGGGGGTTTTGGATTAGCTGTGACAAAGACCCATGTATGGCAATGAGCAACAAAAACGCAGCGAAGAAGACAGAAACATACCCGAAGGGTGTTGAATGCATCGGCGGCCACCTCGAACGAACTCGTGTCGATCCACTTGAAGAACTGCCAGAAAATGCCGCGGCCACTCTGCACGCGGTTAAACGCAATCTTGGACACGCCGCCGGCGCTCGAGCCGCTGTTGGGGTCGTCGTCTGCGTCGTCGTACAGCACTACGGCCGCGGCAGCCTCGTGCTTGAGCACCTCACGCAATATCGACCCGGCGGTCGTGGCGCTCTCCTTGTGGTCGTAGCCACGGCACAGGGCAATGAGCACAGATGGCGCGTGGTTGCTCACAAAGTCGACGGCGAGCGGCGCCGGCTGCTGGTTGTTCTGCGGGTCAGAGGCGACCGGGTAGTTGCTCGGCGGTCGGTAGCGGAAGACGAATGAGAAGATGACCTGCGCGTCCTTGCGCGACTCAAAGGGTAGCAAGTGCAGGATCTGGGGTAGCAGGCAGAGCACCTGCTCGTCCACAATGCCGTGCACGAGTTGGTAGACCTGCTCGGGGCTGGACTCGGCATCAGGTGTGCCTTGGAGGATGGCCTTCATCTGGCCAAGACATTTCGGCAGCGGCTCGTCCACCTGGTAAGATGACGGAGGACGGTCAGCATAGGCTTGGTAGGCCGGAAGTCTGGAGTCTAGAGTCTGGAATCGGTGCTTTGGTTTCGTCCCCTACCTTTATCTCTGGGTTCTTGGCGACGTCGATGCGGGACAGCAGGTCGTATGTCTGCCGCGCCAGCTCGGCCGCATTTGTGCGGCTGCGCCCGCGATTGAAGAAAAACGACATTGGAAGACGCACAGGCTATGGCACTGGCGACGGTGAGGACCGGATCGAAGCAGAGTCCGGTTCGTCAGAGTCAAGATCGAGCGACGACGGTGAAGCGATCGCGGCGCAAGAACAGACTCTCAGAAATGGCGGTCGCCTGCGGGCATTGAGGATGTCGGATGTCGTCAACTGGATGCGCGTTCCAGGACAGGACAGGCGGAATAAAAGGGGCGTGCTGTGCTGGATCGTGGGATCGCAATCGGGGTGAAAGCGTTGGTGCCACTATTTACATCACACTATTGTTTGTTGTTGCTATTGCCAGAACGTCTATCCCCCTGCTTGGGCCGCTTTGGGCAGTCGCAGCAACCGCCCGCACCACCTAGCCGGAGGTGGAGTGGGGTGCGCGTGGTCTATTTACTGACCGAACGAGACCCCTGCAGTGTTCGCTATCGCTGTTACAACGGGTTAATTGGAGGGTAGTTGTGGGGACTGCAGCACGAGGCACACAGGGGCCTCTTAGCGCGTTTGACATGTGGTGCAAAAGGGTAAGGTGCATGATGTGGCATCGGATAGTGCGATATATATACTGTTTATAGAGATATTCGATTGGGGCAGGACCGCATCGACATTGTGAGTGTGTACGGACATGGACGAATATGAACTACATAGCAGAAAGAAGTGCAATCAACTTCGCCTCATTCTGATACATTCGGTACATGTATCACAATACGTTCGTGCGATAATGTAGATATATGTAGCCTAGTAGAGGTCTGTTGGTGTCCCAGGTGGTGGTTGTTATCAAATTCGTTAAATCGACTTGCTGCTCCCACGATGCAAAAGGAGCATCTGCCACAAGAGGCGTCCGCATGCGCGAATGCGTGTAGACTCCATGTCAATCAATAAACGTTGCGTCCATGGCATCGTGGATCGTGGCATTCTTCCCGGATCGGGCCTCTCCATGGGCCACCGCTCACTTCTGCCGTAGTCGGCACAGCACGCCTGGAGACCTTCTTGGCATGCTTCTAACATATATTCGTGCCCAGAAAGAGTCTTTCGCCCGTCGATAGCGACCGCAATCTCTCGGCAGCTATTTGGACTTCTTCATCGCAGCCTTGGGACGGTCAGCAACTCTCCAACACGCAGCAAGGCCTAGCGAAGCTAACGCAGCCGGAACTCACCAGGTAGCAGTCCTTCAGCTTCATAAACTCGGCGGCACATTTGTCCTTGTGCACCGCGTTGTAGTCGGCAACAATGCATTTGCCATAGACGGCGGCCTAGTTGGTCAGCTCGGGTGGTCCATCCAACACTCCTCCTAACAAACCACGAGTGTCCATACCTCAGCAGTGCACTGCGATGTGGCGGCCGCGACCCGCTGAATGGGGCGTGTTCGTGGCTGCATGGCTGTCGCGGTCACAAGAGCACTTTTATGCGTTGCTTTGTCGTGTCCTCACACGGCTGGCCAGTGCAGTTTCCGAATCCAGCTTTCGGTTCTTGCCATCTAGGCCAAGAAGCTCTTGCCCTCCACGCGATTCGCGGACCATGCCCAATCCGTCTCTGGTGGCAGGAACCCACTTTTCTACTGGGCAGGCGCCTTCCTACGCGCTAAACCTCAAGACCTCTTAACGCGTTCCCCTGCGGCCCTGTCTTTCCCCTTGACGACACGACAAGCTTTTTTGGGCACGCTGCGCATATCGCAGTCCGTGGCCACTCAAGCTGCAGAGCATACGATTCTTCCCGGGCGTCTGTTCTTTTTGACGTCGTCTTTCTTTCTGTCACACCGGCACTGTCCTACCTAGTGGGCTCTCTACCGTGCCTCCTTGCGTCTGGCGCGACTCTCCAACCTGAGCCGTGGCCGTGCGATTTGCTCGATTTTCTTCTTGTACGACTTTCTTTTGTTGTTTCTTTCTCTTCACTCTTTGTCTCCTTGCCACCCCTCTTGGCCTCCTCTTTGTCTCGCCCAGCCCCCTCTATCATGCCTTCGCCGGTGTGTTCGACCCCATGCCGTCTCACGCTCCGCTATCCTCTCGAGATGGCAGGATCCGGTCATCGTCCATCCGCCAAGGGAGCGAGCTCTTTTACTATACCAACGAGGGTATGAGAACTCGTCCTCCGTACCATCATGCTCTCCGGCCTCGGTCGCTAACCCCACAGACATTGAACTCCTCCACCAAGTCGTCGCGCTGGGCCAGGACATCCTGCCCACGCTGCCGAAGCGCGACAAACTGCCGACGACCGCACTCTTCCGAGCCGCCGATATCGTCTTCCCTCGCCATGGCCTCGACCCGGACGGCGAGGATAAGCTCAGCCGCATCATCTTCCTTGTGGGCGGCATGCGCTCCACCGACAACCTGCTCGACCGCTTTCGAACCGTGCTAGGCCGCATGGGCATCGAGCTGGAGTACGTACCGGAGAGCAGCAGTGTCAATGCCGACGTCGACGGCGACGACGACAGCAACAACAGCATGTATGCTCCAGAGGACGGGGAAAACAACGTTCAGCACGCCCGTCGCCGCCAGTCACACGTGCAAGCTTCGCCACCGTCTCCACACCCGCCATCACCACCTCTTTCAGTTCACTCCCCGACGTGCTCATCCGCTGGCGGCCTGACTTCTCACTCTGGTGTTTTTCCCGTTGCACCACATGTGACCGGCCGGCGACGACGCAATTCTGACAGTGTGGCTGAGTTTGTGGTCGCGGCGGGCGCGAGTCGGTTCAACCGCGGCCACCCTGAACACTACGAGTCACCTATTGACCACCAGTCGCATCGACCCACGGGCCGGCAACAACAACGCCGACAGCATCACAGACGCAGGTCCGACTCGCTTGCACCGCCACTGGTGAACTATAAGGACTACTTTGGCACAGCAGACGAGCCAAGACCAGCTCCACGACTACCTTCGCCGCAGCGACAGCAGCGTCCGCAGACACGGCCGCGACCCCCTCACACATCGCGGCCGATCGACCCATGGTTGTCGCAGGTTCCTCGGTACCCTGCTGCGCCCGAAGAGGTCGACTATACGGAGGAACATGGTAACAATTTCAAGGACAACCTACATGCTAATCCTTCCGAAGGAAACTTTGATTACGATGACGATAATGATGTGCCTAGTATCGACCAATACACGCAATCCTTGGATTTACTTCGTGCGGCAGCGCCACGGAAGGACGAACATGCCCTACAACAACGCAAGCAACACGATACACCTCCCAACGTAATAAGCGGCCACGGCGCTGCCCATCTTTCTCACAACCACAACTACCAATACCACCAACAACTCCCCATCCGCACTCGCCCATTCTCGCAGAACCGCCCCCCCTCTGCGCAACCCGGTGCTAGCCCAACAGGCCCGGGTTTTGTTACGGACGCCCAAATCTCCTCGTTGCAACCGGCTGGTTCCTGGACCGAGCCGCAATCGCCCCGGTCGCGGGTCTCGTCCTTGGCCTCTGACCACGAGGCATTCCATGGCGCCAGCGACACAACCGTGCAAGAAGAACTTGAGGCCGGGCCGCCACCTCGAGTTGACCCCTTCATCATGGCCAAGGTAGCGGACACTTATTTTATGCGGTTTGCTTTCCTTGGCGGTCTTGCGGTTGACGTGTGGCGAACGACATGCGCTGCACACCAGCAACAGGAGCGGTATGCCGCACTCATTGACCGGGAGCTATCCGCATCAGAAGCGCTTCTCGTGTGGAGCAGTGTGGCTGGTACTCACATTGAGGATATGACGGGGAAGTCCAGGCAATTAACCGCCCTGCAACAAGAGATGGCCATCGTCGAGGAACGTCAACCGGACGAAATTGAGCGGCTAGGAGACGTCGACGAAGAAGAAGCCGAAGCGGAGGACGACCAAGACGACGAAGCCGCTGCCCAATACCGAAAAAAGCAAGACGAGCGCGAAAAGCTTATGCGCCGAGCAGCCCGCGTTTTTACCATTACAACCATGTTCAATGCCGTCAGCCACTGGCAGGCTATGGCCAAAGAGGAAGCCGGCCGTACCAAAGTGGCTCGTCGCCACCTCTTACGCCGCAAAGTCTTTGGTGCCTGGCGCGAGCAGACGGCTACTGATAACGTCAAAGCCGACTGCTTCGCGCTCAGCTGGGCCGTTCGGCGCTGGTCGTCCGCGATGCAACGAGGGCCCCAAGAGAATGGGAAATTGGCCATCCAATTCCACCACCGCGACTTGGCGACCGTCACGTTCTGGACCTGGCTTAGAGCACACCAGGAGCGGATCGCCGAGGCATGGGCCGTCGATCGTCTCAAGAAGAAGGCCGTCGAGAGCTGGTGCCAGCGGACCATTGCATTGGCGCACTTCGAGGACAAGGCCGCTCGAAACGTACAGCAGTTTCGTCTACGCGTAGCGACCGCCACATGGGCCGAGCAAGCTCAGAGCCAGGCACTGACGTTCCTCAGTATTGAAGAGCAAGAGAATGAGACCTACATGCTGGCAGCACTACAAGACTGGTCCAAAGAAGCGTTTTGCCAGGAAAAACTGCGCGCTATGCACGCTGCCAATGAAACCCGCACCAAGTCGGCCGTGTTAGAGGTCTGGCGCGAGAGCGCCGCCGAGGCCAAGCATCGCGCAACCCAACTGGACCTCGACATCGCCGAAGAGTATGTCGCCCACTGGCACCGCGAAACCCGCCTTGCGCTTTTCCGCGCCGACTATGAGTATGACCTCAAGATGGATGCCGTGCAGAGCTGGGTACTGGCCGAGAAGCTTGCGTTCCTTATCCGGTACCGCGACGAGCAGCTTCTCTGGAAGACATGTGTCGCACTCAAAGACAATTTTGGTATTGGTAGCCAAGGTCGGCAAAGAGAACAACAGCGCGAAGACGACCTGGCTCAGGTTGCGGATAGACTAGACAAGACCAGCGTCTTTGCCGGATTGGTCTCTGCTTTCCACCAGCAGGGCGAGAGGCGCGGCGCCTGGAAGGAGATTTCAAAGTACCTGGACCACGAAGCTGTGGCAAACAAAACCCTGGGTTTGTGGACAGCAGCGACAGCCGAACACGACGGCATGAATGAAATAGCCCGTCGTGGAGCATTTTACGTCGGCACCGCGAACGCCTTAAGTGGCTGGTCTACCTACGCTAAGAACATTCGAAAGGAGCGCCTGCGCTCCACGTACTACACCTTTCGGAGAGAGGTGAAGCGCAAGACGGCGTCCGACTGTATCGCCGTGTGGCGCGATGCTACTCTCCACCAAGGTACCGAGACGAGTGGCAACGGCGCATACGCAATGGCAGATCAGCTCCGCTACGAATACGAGGCCTACACTGTCTTTACAACGCTCAACCACTGGATCCTTGCGACCAACGACTGCATTTTCCAGCATACCGTGGCTGCTGAAGCAGACACCGAGGTGTATCTCAGCCTCTGGCGACTGCAGCTAGCCGACTGCGAAGAACTCGGCGCAGCGGCTGCTGAGCACGATACAGTTACAAAACTGGCCGGGCGCTGGGACGACTGGGAGCTGCAGGCTGTACAGGCCCGGGGCCGGGAACACACGGCGGCGGCACTTCTTGAGAAAAATGAGCGTCGGCTCGGAAGACGCGTGCTGGCAGTCTGGCAACAAGAGCTGGTAGACCGGCTCTACGTCGGGTCGGCTGAGCCAGAGGACGACCTACGGTTGAGTTACACGGCATCCGCGGCGTCCCGTTGGCAAGGTGAGAAGGACCACGGTGCTGGCCCAAGCTCCAGTTTTTGGCGACTGGGTGCATCGTTCTCGTCGCCTCTGGTTGGCCGCTCGGACGCACCTCGGCCAACTCCGTCGCGGGCGCCTGGGTCTGACGACCGCAACGATCGCCCACCTCGGGTTGCCCTAGTCGGCGCACGGCCAGCCAGTCTCCTTCTTCACCCGATTACAGAAACCCCCGTCACAACAACAGCGCAGCGGCCGTTCTATTCTGGTGGTGTTCTCGGCGCTGTCGGCGGCAGCCATAGTGTTCCTGCGCCCGGCATCGTGGCGGCCGAGTCGGTGACGACAACAGATGTGATTCAACAGCCACCAACTGCAGGCACCAAGCCACTACGACGACTACACCGATCAACAACCGCGGTTTCGTATCGGCACCAAGAGCAGGCGCAACCAACGCCGACCGCCTTACCCTCGTCTTCGTCGCCAGAGACTGCTGTTTCCCGGGTTCGCGCGTCGCCTTACAACCACCGTCTTCTGCAACGCCGGTTACTGTCGGCCGCTCGCTTGGCCGATTCGGTCCAGCTAGGGCCTATGTCTGAGTTTGACGAAGTGGAGGCTGGAGCGGAAGACGCTGAAACTGATCCACTCCCTTTGCGGGACTATGCTGATGCCGACGTGTCTTCCGAGGGCGATGACGACCTCGGTCTGGGTCCTGACAGCCCCCATGGCCTGCCAGATCGCCGTAACCTCCAACTACTGT